TTTGTGACTTGAATACTGGAGTGGAGAGGACACTTATAAAACTTGCAGGTGACACAAAGCTAGGAGAGGTTACAAGAACTCTGGAGGACAGGATTAGAATTCAAACAACCTTAACAAATTACAGAATTAGTCTGAAATTAGTAAAATGAAATTCAATAAAGCCAAGTGCAAAGCATTACACTTAGGCACAAACTATCAAAAGCATGACTACAAAATAGAAAATACCTGGCTAGGGGTTACAGTGAATCAAAAACTGATTATGCATTAATGGTGTGATGCGGTTAAGAGAAAGGCCAATATCATTTTAGGGTACAGGAATGTCGTATGCATGACACAGGAGATAATTGTTCCACTTATACTCAATATACTCAATACTGGTATGGTATCAGTTGGAGTATAGTACTCACTTTTGGGCATCACGCTTCAAGAAAGACATGAACAAATTGAGAGAATCCAGGGGAAAGCAACAAAAATGATGTAGGGTCTAGAAAACCTGATCTATGAGAGAAGGTCAAATAAAATTGAGTATGTTTAGTCTTGAAAAAGAAGGACCTGATCAGTCTTCAACTATGTTAAGGACTGTTATAAAGAGGATGGTGATCAATTGTCCCCCATTTCCACTGAAAGTAAGACAAGAAGGAATTGGCTTAATCTGCAGCAAGGGAGATTTATGTTAGATATTAGAAAAACTTTCTAACTGAAAGGATAATAAAGCTCTGAAATAGACTTCCCAGGGAGATTGTGGAATCCCTGACATCCACAGTTTTTGAGCACAGGATGGTTTCAGTTGGCTTTAACTCAGCATGGGAGGATAGAATAGATGGCCTCTTCAGATTCCTTCCAGGCTTACATTTCTGATTCTAAGTGTGCATTTAAAAAATCTAGCCATTAAAACAGTTTTATGCTTTTTATTTTCTGCATTTGTTTCAACTTCTGTCGATATGTAGGTTCTTATACAGCTGCTATCACACCTTTACAATCGCGGGTAACAAAAAGAACTAGCCAGTTTCATTTTTGCCACTTTCCAATCAATTTTACCTTAAAGTACTTACCTGTGAACACTCTTGCAATATTTGGACATCAAACAATGCAAGAGGGTCTTAATTTTCAAAAAGACAATACAATCCAACTTCCCATTCTGTAAAAACTCAACAGCACCCATCAAACCCTTATTTCCATTTTTTTAAGTCTCACAAAAAACTTTTCATTAGTATTCAGATCCTTGAATTCTTTAATGTCATAGATTCTTGAATTTACAAGATCTAAAGTTTGGTGATATCTATTAATGAAAACAAAGAGAACACAGTTGTTTGTCGAGAATTGCTACATTAACCAGATGTGACCATAATTAATGTCCAGTCCTGCAAGTCTTTCCCACATGACACTGATGGGATTTCTACACGCAAAGGGCTTGCATGACTAGGCCTACTCTGGTACGTGACTAAAACTGATTGAAATGGACTAACATTACCAATGGACTAACATTACCGGCATGAGATTACTAGGTTGCTGGGGCTGCCTTGCTCCACTTCCCCCCGTGCTGCCATTCCTGTGGAAGGAAAAGCACCACAGCAGCCCAACACTGTGACAGTTAATTTCAGAAATGGCAACTACATAAAAGTGAGGAAATTAGTTAAACAGAAATTAAAAGACACGGTGCCAATGGTGAAATCCCTGCAAGCCACATGGAAACTTTTTAAGGACACCATAATAAAGGCTCAACTTAAAGAATACCCCAAATTAAAAAAAAAAAAAAAAAGCACAGTAAGAGAACTAAAAAGGTGCCACCAAGGCTAAACAAGCAAGTAAAAGAAACAGTGAGAGATAAAAAGGCATAATTTAAAAAGTGGAAATTAAATCCTAGTGAGGAATTAAACTCTAACAAACTCTAACAAATGAAGTATAAAAATATAATTTATAAGGCCAAAAAAGAATTTGAAGAACAGTTACTTTTGATTTTTTGGCTAATAGCAATTTTTCAAAAGTACATCAGAAAGCAGGATGCCTGCTAAACAACCAATGGGGCCACTGTATGATTGAGATGCCCAAGGAACACTCAAAGGACTATAAGGTCATTGCAGAGAAACTAAATGAATTCTTTGCATCAGTCTTCATGACTGAGGACATGAGGGAGATTCTCAAACCTGAACCATTCTTCTTAGGTGACAAATCAGAGGAACTATTCCAGGACTACATGGCATTCACCCAAGAGTTGTGAAAGAACTCAAATGTGAAATTTCAGAATTACTAACTGTGATTTGTAACCTAGCCTTTAAATCAGCTTCTGTACCAAATGACGGAGGATAGCTAATGTGATATGAATTTTTAAAACGGGCTCTAGAGATGATCCTGGCAATTACAGGCTGGTAAATCTAACTTCAGTACAAGGCAGATTGATTAAAACTATAGTAAAAACAAAATTGTCAGACACATAAATTAACATAATTTGTTGGTGAAAACTCAACATGGATTTTGTAAAGGTAAATCATGCCTCAGCAAACTACTACTTGAATTCTTTGAAGCTGTCAACAAGATGTGGAGAAGGGGGGATCCAGTGGATATAGTGTACTTGGATTTCCAGAAAGCCTTTGCCAGGGTTCCTCACCAACGCATAGTTCTCTGAAAACATCCACTCAATGTGCAGTTAGCAGTCAAAAAAGCAAAGACAATATTGGAAATTATTAAGAAAGGAATAGAGAATAAGACAGAAAATATCATATTTCCACTATATAAATCTATGGTATGCCCACATTTGAATACTGCATGTAGATGTGGTTCCTGCATCTCAAAGTTATTTTGGCATTGGAAAAAGTTCAGAAAAGGGCAACAAAAATGATCAGAGGTATGAAACAGCTGTCATAGGAAGAAAGATTAATAAGACTGAGACTTTTCAGCTTGGAATAGAGACAACTGAGGGGGATATGAGAGAGGCCTATAAAATCATGACTGGTGCAGAGAAAGTGAATAAAGAAGAGTTATTTACTCCTTTCCATAATACAAGAACCAGGGGTTACCAAAGAAAATTAATAGGTAGCAGGTTTAAAACAAACAAAAAGGAAGTACATCTTCACACAATGCAATCAACCTGTTGAACTCCTTGCCTGAGGATACGGTGAAGGCTAGAATTTTAACAGGGTTAAAAAAGGAGCTAGATAGATTCATGGGGGTTAGGTCCATTAATGGCTATTAGCCAGGATGGGTAGAAATGGTGTCCCTAGCCTCTGTTTCTCTGGAGGTGGGTTGTGATCCCTCCCTCTGGGGCATCTGGTATTGGTCACTGTCAGCAGACAGGATACTGGGCTAGATGAACCTTTGGTCTGACCCAGTATGGCTGTTCTTATGTTCTTGAAGAGACCCAAATTCACTTTGGCTATGGCTACACTATGACTTTTGCTGCAAGAGCCTATGCAAATGAAGCACAGATTAGTATTTTCCCGTGCTTCATTTCCATACTCTCTTTTGGTCTGTTTTTGCACTGTTCTTGCCTCTCTAGGACAGGCATAAGGATCTTGTGGAAAAAGGTTTTTTTCCGCAAAACGGCCACAGCCACACTGCCTATTTTTGCGCAAAAACCCCTAGAGCAAAAACAGACCAAAAGAGAGTATGGAAATGAAGCACGGGAAAATACTAATCTGTGCTTCATTTGCATAGGCTCTTGCAGCAAATCTTGTAGTATAGACAAAGCCTTTGTGATCAACACATCTATGCTTCCCAAAAAATGGAAACCTGGTGGTTACATGGACAAACTATAAAGGAAACATTACAAAAATGAAAACAAAAGATAATTTCTGAGAGCCATGGATAGGTCAGTGGTAGCAAACAGCAATCTACTTGTTTGGATGCAGGAAGCTTATTTCTTTTTACAATTCAAATCATATTTACAATGCTCAAAGAAACGTAAGAACCATCACTGCAAAGGCTATGCAAGTTACATTTTTCCTGTCATCCTGTTCTTTGTCAAAGTAATCAAGGCACACAGGTTACCATAAATTTGAACCTATGCACATCTTTTTCTCTCATTCACTTGCTCACAGATGCACACACATAGAGAACTTGAATATATTAGAAACAGCTGTTATATCATGCTGGGTTAATTTCCCCCCACATTCCATCTTTTTTCTCCTTCTCTTTACTCTTTTGTCCTCTGGCCACTTCTCATTCAAACATGAAATTGTAATCCAATATTAGAAAAAACAAATCTTAACAGTCCCACTTGTCTAACTACTGCTTCCTTTCTCTCCTCTCCTTTGCTTTTATGTACCACTGCCTCAAAAAAGTGGCCTCTCATGGCCTAGGTTCCCTGTCTTCCAATATTCTCTTTGCCCCCTGTAATCTGGGCTTTCTCCATTGAAATTTCTTGTCCAAAAGCCTTATCTTCACTGCTAAAAATGGTATTTTTAAAATCTCCGCCCCCTATAATCTGGGCTTTCTCCATTGGAATTTCTTGTCCAAAGGCCTTATCTTCTCTGCTAAAAATGGTATTTTTAAAATCTCTGGATAACTAAACATCTGTGACAGTAGCCAACTCACATGAGATGAAAACATTAAATAAGACCAAAAAAATCAAGCCAACGAACTGCAGCCAATGGTAGTTGTGAGGCTCAATGCCAATGGATGTTTAGATAAACAAAGTGTCTCACAGTCGGGCAGTGGCTTACCCATGTGGGCCTGTGACCCAAACGCGAAATCCCCTGCTTTAAGTTATGATAAGAGGAAGCTGCGTACCAAATTTGGTAGTCCTAGCTCTTATCGTTTAGGAATTTTTGAACAAACAGACAGACAGACAAGACACACTCAAAGACAGGAAAACTCTCTAAAATATATAGTAGATTATATTAATCTCAATTGAGTGCCTTGAGTGACATTGCTTAGAATGAGAAGCACACAATTGAGAGCCTGTCTGGTTTTGGCAGCACTGATATACTGGCTTCTTTCATGGATTCTGGTGTACAGCTGCTTATATACATTTTCTGTATACATATTAAAGAAATTTCATTAACCTTCCTGAAAGTCCTGGTGTTTTGCCAGATTTCATATCCCTTACAGTTTTGTTTTCATCTCTTCTCAGCACCTCACAGGATCAAGCCCTCATTTTATTATTTTTCCTTTCTTTTAATCCTCATCTTTAACTCTGGCATAATGTCATCCATTTCATGTTCCTAGAAACCTGGGTGGAGAAAGAAGAAATGGACAAAAAGATGCAACTCTGGACATGTTAAAACATTCTATGAACTACACCTCCAAGCCTGGCTACTTGAGTACTTCAGTACTATTTGGCAAACTGCACTTCTCAATCTAAACAATGCAATGTAAAGTAAGAAAACAAGCTGAACTGTTTGAAATGGTTTCAATTTCCTGGCACTATTTACAGATAATTCTTTAGCCTTCCTCTGTCCCAGTGGTCTAAGGTAGTGAAAGGTAATCTTTAGTTTTGTGGGAATGACTTGCAAGCAGGGTTCACACCCCCAAAAATGCCATACAGCAAACATGATAATAAGATCCAACGAACTGCAAATAAGGAACTTCTGAAAATATTTAATTGGGATTATGATAGGGGGTTGCTTACCGTGGCCTGCAGGGACATGCCCCCCTCCACTGCAGGCCACAGGTGGTGGCCGCAGCAGCTCGGAGGTGCCGGGCCACGCCGAATTTGCAGCACCTGTGTACTAGTGGCCTTGCAAGGTGGCGGGCTTAGGACCTTAGGGGAGGGTCAGCTGATGGCATGCGAGTGATGTGGCACAAGGTGCTGTCACTGAAGCGGGGGAGTTTAAAATGAGGCCAGCCAGCCCTAAGAAGGGGGGGAAGGGTGGATGGTAAGGGATCTGGTTGGCGTAGTGGGCTTCACTCTCCTCGGCAGGTTCCACTGCAGCAAGGGGGAAGCCGGTAAGCGAGGGGCACTCATAGTACCAAACCAGTGACCTCGGGTGATGACGAGTGGCAGCTCCAGGGGGATTGCTCTTGGACTCTGGACGGACTCTAATCTGTCCTGGGGACGTGGACATTTGGGAAGAAAGGGAGATAAAAAGGACTGTAGAGCATAATAAGGCCTTGCCTGAGTGTGGAGATGTGTCTCTGAAAGGCAGGCCCTGTTACAGGGATATTTTGTTTGTATATACACTATAGAAAAAAGACTCTCCATTAGGCAATATATGAAAACTTTGTTATCAATTCTGGTAAACTCAGTAGCACAATTTTCCCCCCAGATCCTTCCTGAGAGGTAGGGGAATGTATGCTTAAGAATCATGCAGTGAACATCTGTATTAAAATTGGATAGGGCTTTCAAGCAATTAAAAAATTAAACAATTATAGTATACTACTTATTTAAATATTTTGGATGTTGTTTTCTACATTTTCAAATGTATTGATTTAAACTACAACAGAATGCAAAGTATAAATATTTGAACTCTAGAAAACAAAAGAAATAGCATTTTTCTATTCCAATATTACAAGTACTTAAGGGTAATCTCTTTATCATGAGAGTTGAACTTAACAAATTTAGAATGATGTACAAATAAATAACTGCATTCAAAAATAAAACAATATTCAACCTTAGCACCTACAAATCCACTCAGTCGTACTTCCTGTTCAGTCAATTGCTCAAACAAACATGTTTGTTTACATTTGAAGGACATAATGCTGCCCACCTCTTATTTACCATATCACCTGAAAGAGAAAACAGACCTGTTTATTATATGGTACTGTTTTTGGCTGGCATCATAAGATATTTATATGCTAGTTGTGCTAAGAATTCATATGTCCCTTCATGCTTCAACCACCATGCCAGAAGACATGCATCCATGCTGACATGCTCTCCTTGATAATAGTCCAAAGCAGTATGGACCCATGCATGTTCATTTTTATCATTAGAGTCAGATGCCACCAGCAAAAGGTTGATTTTTTTTCAGGTGGATCAGGGTCTGTAGTTTCTACATCAGAGTGTTGCAAAACCCCTGAAAGAATGCTCCATAACTCCACCAAGATTTTGGAAAGCACATCGGATTCTTAAACTTGTGTCAAATGCTGTAGCTGTCTGTAGAGATCTTACATTGGTGCCTTTTGGGTTTTGTCAAATTGGTAATGAAAGTATTTGTAAAACGAACGCATGCTATAACATGAAATATATGGCAACATCTGGATAAAACAGAGCAGGAGACATACAATTCTCCCCCATGGAGTTCAGTCACAAATATAATTAACATTTTTTTAACAACAGTCGCCAGCTTTGAAATGTGTCATAGAATCATAGAATAATAGGACTGGAAGGGACCTCGAGAGGTCATCGAGTCCAGCCCCCCGCCCTCAAGGCAGGACCAAGCTCTGTCTACACCATCCCTGACAGATGTCTATCTAACCTGTTCTTAAATATCTCCAGAGAGGGAGATTCCACCACCTCCCTTGGCAATTTATTCCAATATTTGACCATCCAATATTTGTCCTTTGGAATGGTGCTGAAATATACCAATAATTAGCATATCTAGCATGTAAATACTTTGCAGTGCCGCCTGCAAAAGTGCCATGTGAACACCTGTTCTCAGTTTCTTGTGACATTGTAAATAAAAAGTGGGCAGCATTATTTCTCTAAAATGTGAACAAACTTGTTTTTAAGTGATTGGCTGAAAAAGAAGGACTGAGTAGACATGAAGGCTCTATAGTTTTACATTGTTTTGGTTTTGGGTGCAGTTATATGGCAAAAACAAAAAATTTTGTTTTGATGGGGGGAGGCACTCCAAGAATACAAATTTAGAATGATGTACAAATAAATAACTGCATTCAAAAATAAAACAATATTCAACCTTAGCACCTACAAATCCACTCAGTCGTACTTCCTGTTCAGTCAATTGCTCAAACAAACATGTTTGTTTACATTTGAAGGACATAATGCTGCCCACCTCTTATTTACCATATCACCTGAAAGAGAAAACATATGGTTGTTGGGTGCAGAAGGGATTTTAGGGTAGGAGATTGAGATAGAGGAGGGGGTGCAGATTATGGGAGGGGGTTGTGACTTGAGTCAGGCATGCAGGAAAGGGCTCAGGGGGTTGGCTTCTGACCTGGGGCAGAGGACTGTGGTGCAGAGTTTGAGAGGGGGTATAGGTGCAGGAGCAGGGATACAGAAGTTTTGGGTTCTGGCCTGGGATAGGGATGCAGGAGGGAAGTGGTGGGGTGGGGTTCCAGGTGTTGGCTCTGGCCCACAGCCCCTTACCTTAAGCAATTCTCAGTCAGCAGCCCAGTGGTTTCTTCAGGAAGTCTTCCTACCTACTGTGCCCTCCATGCCGCTCAAAGCAGCCAGCTGCAGAGTCCATGTGCTCTCTGTGTGCTGCAGGGGTGAGGGGTCCTCCACATGCTGCCAGAACCGCAAGTATGGTCCAGGAAGCTTCCATTGGCCACTTTCCAGCCAATGGGAGCTCTGAGATTGAGTTGGGACACGTGGCCCCCACAACCTGCCGCTTCGAGCAGTGTGCGGGACAGGCAAGGAGGCTGCATGAAGCTACTGCTGGGACGTGTGCCCAATTTGATAGTTTCTTAGGCCAAATCTGGTGTATGAGCCGAATTTTGCCTGTCCCCTACACAACACAGTACTTGTATGAGGTGAACCGAAAAATACTATTTCTTTTGTTTATGATTTCTACAGTGCAAATATTTGTAATAAAAAGAATATAAAGTGAGCACTGTAAACTAGATATTCAGTGTTGCAATTGAAATCAATATTGGAAAAATGTAGAAAAATATCCAAAATATTTAATAAATTTCAGTTGACAGTCTATTTTTAAAGTGAGATTAAAACTATGTTTAATCATGATTAATTTTTAAGCACAATTAATTTTTTGAGTTCATTGTTTGATTTAACTGTGATTAATTGACAGCCCTAAAAGTGGACTTCTCAAATAAATTACTTTTACATGTTATTCAAAGATAAGTATTTAACTATCATGGACTAGCACTTTATAATATGCAGATAAGTGTAAAAGACATAATTTCCTCAATAGGACCAAATTCTGGTACCATATGATCATATTGTTCCCCAGGACACTAATAAAGGCCAAATGCATTTGTCTAAAGGCAAAAGTTTGCCCACAGTCTGAATTCTTTAACTTGAAAATGAACAGTCTAGTAATTGAAAATGCCAGTTTTCTTCCTTCTGCCTTCAGTCTTTTCAGCAGCTATCACCAGTTATTCTGTCCCAATTTAAGATTATCACAGAATGTCTATGTCTACACTGGCGCAATCTTGCGCCAGAGCTATGCAAATGAGGCTAAACGGGGAATATCGCTGAGCCTCATTTGCATATCTAATGAGCCGCCATTTTTGCGAAAGAGGCTCTTGCGCCAGAAGGAGCGTCTACACTGCCCCTTCTTGTGCAAGAAAAACCCTCTTGCGCAATGCCGCTACGCTGGCAAGAGGGCTTTTCTTGCGCAAGAAGGGGCAGTATAGACAACTCCTTCTTGCTCAAGAGCCTCTTCTGCAAAAATGGTGGCTCATTAGATATGCAAATGAGGCTCGGCAATATTCCACGGTTAGCCTCATTTGCATAGCTCTGAGGCAAGATCTTGCCAGTGTAGACATAGCCAAGGTGTCTTATCTGATTGTTTATCACTAAGGAACTGTGCCTGATTGAAAGAGTTCTGCCTCTTTATTCAACCAAGTTATTATCTGCATTTATATAGCTCCCAGACCTCCCAGTATGCGAGCCACTGTATAAACAAAAAGAAATTCTATCCAGGACAGGAAGAGTTCACAATCAAATTAAAATTATCATCTGACAAATGACAGTGAGAAACAACAGAGGGAAGGAGAAAGGAGGACAAGTCAAACATCACATAACTAAATAGGCCAAAGTTCCCCTCGCTTGTTGATACAAAATATTTAGATTTTCTTTGTTTCTGACCAATCAGGTGTATTGTGGTTTTTTTTTAAGACATCACCACACGGGTGAGTCCGGAGCAGGGATCTGAAAGCGCGCAATTAATTTGATGAAATACTAAATCAGATACAGTGTAACAGTTCTCCAGGGAGAGAAGGAAGAGGCAAAGGAAGAACAGCTGCATGGTTGTTGGAAAGGAGATGTCAGTCAATTTAAAAGCTTTTTATATCTAAATGTCACAATTACTATATATGTATGTTTACACTGGAGGTGATTAGGGATATAATACTCTCACCTGTACAGAC